TCTCTCTCTCTCTCTCTCTCTCTCTCTCTCTCTCTCTCTCTCTCTCTCTCTCTCTCTCTCTCTCTCTCTCTCTCTGTGCATGATCAGCTTCTCGTTCAAGTGCATGTGCGCATGTGTGCATGAGAAGGGGGGATTGAGAGAGCTGCATTTCTTCTCCTCGTTTATTTTAGTGTCATCTTTTCCTTTCGTTTTCCCTTTCCAATGCTTCCATTTTCTCCATGGGCAAAGCCACAACTGGTCATCCGGTATCCCTTTCTTTAATTATTGCTGGATGAAGAGTGTTTAGTGCTTCAACAGTATGAGTTTGGATGCATTCTGTCGACTTCTCTGCGTGTCTGACATGCATCCTCTCTCTCTCCCTCTTATCTCCACATCCTCCTCCCTTGTTCGTCCTTTATCATGTCTGTGATTACTGAGCCTGTGTGTTTTTATCTTCGTGTGTTTGTTCTTGTCTGAACTTTAAACAGATAAAAACGGTGTGTATGCGGATCTGGTGAAAAAGGTTCAGTGGGCGTTTCAAACGAACGAGTTGCTGCGGATTAATGCCAAGGGCTTGAATAAGAGCGACTACAAGAAGATAGGCGCCCGGCTTCGGGTTAGTGCGGTCTCCCCTTCCCCCCCCCTCCTGGGAAATCATTCTTATGAAGTTACGACCCTGTCTAGGAACCTTTTTTTTTTTTTTTTTTTTAATAAACGGGTTAGCCTGCTTCGATTTCAAGGTTCTTCTCGTATGTGGATTGTGTTGTTTCTTGTGAGGGTTTTTTACTATTTTGCTACTTAGCCAATGCTATGGGCAATGTACTCCCAGCTTTCAAAGAAAGTAGTCAAAAGCATCTTGGGGAGACTGTTTGAGGTACAACCCTCTGACGAACAGACAGTCCCCTGAATGCAGTACAAGGCCATTATAGCTGTATATTTGTGGCAAGTTTCGGTCCAGATACAGACCCCCTGACGAACGGACAGTCCCCTGAATGCAGTACAAGGCCATTATAGCTGTATATGTATTTGGGGCAAGTTTCGGTCCAGATACAGCAATAACGACCCTATGTTCGTTCAGGGGGCTATGGTAGAACAGATACAGCAATAACGACCCTAGTATTTGGGGCAAGTTTCGGTCCAGATACACGCACACAAACACACACACACTCCTGATGAGTCGGTGAAACAGTTTGGAACGGTCATGCTTTGTTTTTTTTTTTTGTGGATTTGTGTATAGCGAATGTAGTATAGCGAACGTAGTAACACACTGGCTGAGTTTTATGGCTTTGACAAATTACGGTCTTCACCCGAATAGAACGCCCGGTCATTATCGCTGTATCTGGACGGAAAATGGCCCCAAATACGGCTAGAATGACCGGGCGTTATATTCGGGTGAAGATGGTAGTTAGTTTCTCAGACTTGCTGCCATTCTTGTCAGGGGCTTGAACCGACAGTCTGCTAGGATTGCAGGGTCGGTGTTTGTGAATAAAGTCTACCACTTTCTTCTCAAGGGTATCACTAACGGCAACTCTGGGCGATGTGGTGAATCCAATCCTTCTCCATCCATCAAACGCATCCTGCGTAGACTGTCGGCGTTCACCCTCCCGATGCGTCATTGGTGTTCGACGAAATAGTCAGGCACAGTCATGCTGTTTTTAATACTTTTATGGGATTGATGTTATAGTGAATGTGACAACACACGCGGACAGCTTCTGTCCCCTGTTCCGATCTGGTGAACCTCGTACGGATGGGCCTTAGTAAGGGAACGTACTTTTTTCTGTTTTTTGTTTTTTTGTAAGTGATGCAAAATATTAGGGGGTAGCAACACGTGCTGGGAACCGGGAGAAGAGAACAGACGAAACATAAGGCTCAAGTATGCTTGAGAGTCAAAGTAACTGGTGTGTAGGTATCCAACACTCAACTACACAACCGTGCCTAGCCCTGCAGCACTCAAATCTCAGCAGTGAAACAGAGTGTGATGTTCAGGCACCTTGTGCTAAACTGGACAAGTAAGGGTGTACTCACTCTACCAGTCTCCTGAATGTATCTGACTGTAGTTACGGTCGGCGTCGAGAAATAAGTAAACGGGTCCTACATGTAGGGAGGCCTGTGGCCAATGCGGTCATATTGCTCACTTTGGGACACTTTTGAGTCTTGACCCTAAATTGTTATTATTATTGTTGTTTGAAAAACAAAATGGGCCATTTCTTGATTAATGTGTGCCATCCTCGAAAGCGCAGGGAGCCCCATGTTAATCTTCTCTGTATTGTTCCAATTTGAATGTTTTTTTTTGTTTGTTTTTTTAATAATGTGGACCATTTCTCAATCTGGCTGTGCCAACCTTGCACACGGGCGTTGCCGATCTTGTGCACGAGTGTGTGTGTGTGTGTGTGTGTGTGTGTGTGTGTGTGTTACATGCACAGATATGCAATGTACGTAATAAACGAGGATCTGCAGTGTGATGAAAAGGACAGAATGGACAATGCGGTGCGAGTAGAATCTCGACAAACAATGTGCATTCTCATACATA